ACTTTTCCTCAGTGCGCTTTGGCTTTTGGTTGGCTTGGCTTGGATCAGGTTTGACTTGGTTTGGCTTGGCTTTCCTAGGCGTGTCTTGGCGCCTATTTGCCAACACTACGGACCTACTACGGGCTTGAACCAAATTCATGTGTTTGGAGGCAGTTTACTCTTCATGGCATGATGATCTTCAAAGCATGCTTGCACGGGTTTAACAAAGGGTCGGGGGGGCGGGGGCGGGGCATTGAAGCATTTCCTCTTGACGGAAGATACTGTGCACTGCAAGCACTGTTTCGTGTCAAAACTTGTAAGAAAGTGCGAAGAGCTGACAGCACTGAACCGATTCAACCACACAACCAATTGCACGTGTTTGCTAAAAACGTGCCCCCCCTCCATATGCAAACACAAAGCACGTATGATATGGGTAGTGAAGCAGTTCCTCTTGCGGCATGATGCTCTTCAACGCAAGCTTGCATGGCTTACGGAATGCGTGCTGTTTGTAATTGCATGCAATTGCATCCCAGGGCGCGCGAGATGGCATAAAGTAACGTCAGACATTGGAAGCAGTTTCGAATACTCTCGTGTTGCAGAGAAACAAAGGCTGTAAATAGCATGTCCGTGCCCATGAATCCATGAACCTAGCTGTACCCTCAAACCTCCCCCACAACAAGCTGCTGAGCTTGATAACATTGATCACCTGTACGGCTTAGGGCTTGGGCTTAGGCTTGAGGTGAGCGCCTTCATCTTCTTCATCCCCTCCTCCAAGACCTTCGTCCTCCGAGATTCTGGGCAGGACGTTTGTTTCGGGCTTGAGCGGCGCCGCGGGCTCAAAGGCTTTGGGGGCTTCACGGCTTTGAGGCTGGGGGGGCTTTTGAGGGTTCAGGCCGTTGGCTTGCCACAATCGCCCATCCCAAAGTTTCAGGTCGGGACCCCTTAAAGCGTAGAGCACTTGTGCCGTGAACCCCCAATAGCCTAGCTTTTGTTGACAGCAGTTGCTTTCAATGACCTCTTGGACGGGAAGACTTCTAGGCAGGATCGTTGCGCGTCAAGTTTCAGGGTGAGGCGTACAAGAGAGATTTTCTGGACCAGGAGCATGTCAAACCCAGGTGTTGCTGGGAGTCATCGGCGGCAGGCGCTTCTGGCCTCCTCGTCATCGAATGGCTCCCCAGCCTATGTCTTGATGACTTCAGGGAGTTCATGTCAGGCGGTGGAAAGTTTTGTGGGCACCTTTGTTCTAATTTGTTTGGCACGTTTCTTTTTGTTCTCTTGTGGGGGTGCATGGAAACTTGTCGACTGCCCTGTCCTCTCAAAGACCTTCGCCCCCCACCTCCTGCCCCTCTACCACCTAGAAACATACCCCCTACACGTTCTCGTACCTGAGATGAATTTGAATGGCAGTCCCGAATCCTCACCGGCTGGTGGTTGTGTGGGTCATGGTGGTGGCGTGGGTCATGGGTCTCATGGCTCAGTTGGTTCGAGCGTGCGGCCAATAACCGTCAGCTTCGCGGTTCGCGCCCGCGCGGGACCATTTTTCACATGTGGTTCCGTGTGCCCTATACAAGTTCGGCAAAGCATTTTTGCACATGAGAGCTGTGCAACGTTCCACGAGAGAAAACACAACCATTTTTTGCTCGCCTGTCGGACATGGCCCATGCCCCCCCACGCCCCTTTCCCGTCATGTTCCGACCCTCCTCCGCCTTCCGCAGAACCATTAACCACACAGAAAAGTTTTGCTGGCGGGTTCCTTTGCAAGGACAGCTTTCTGGGTTTATGGGCCTGTTGACATGACAGATTTGAGTCTGCGCCGGCTGCAAAGCCTCCTAACACACTGGCCTGCGGGTGTATTTCATGACTACCTACCTTATGCTCTACTTGCTCGTGGTCTGGTAGCATTACCCCTTGAAAGTGTCGTAATCCCGTCACAGGATCACGTCGCATCTTTTTTCGGTGTCTTAAGGTTTGGGATGATGTGATTCTAACCCTTCCCAAAACACCGGTATTTACAGCGTTTTCGGTCCCTCTATACAACATGCTGCGCCAGGCGCCAGGATCTTTGACGGTTCTGGCACAAGATGCACAAGCCTTCTGCCAACATGCCCACACACTTGGCACAGTGAGATGCTTACTCGGCTCTTCTTCATGTAGCTATACAGCTATGCACAATCTCCAACGCCTCAGTGAAAGTACCGATGTGCCGGACATCCAATCAGTCACTCAGTGGTGTCTTTGACAGTGATCTCTCATTCAGCAAATTCACGTCTTTCGCTCTTTCAGGCAATGCAAACTGATTGAGCAATCTTCTCCAGATCTCGACCCTGCGCTTAACATCTTCATTCCGAACAATCGACCCAGCACTACCATCACTAGATTGGGCTAGCATATAAGCCAGTTGCCGCGCCAAAAAAGCCGGTTGATTGTCACACGTACCCCTCCGTTGGTGATTTTTTTACGCATCAATCACAGCATTTGTTGATGTCTCCGCGTCGTCCTTCAACGTCTCGGCAAGTGGCTTGTTCAGTCCTACATACCGCTTCAGTTGCCACGCCATCTTGCCATTTCTCTAGCGTTCCACGATGCATGGGGGGAAAGCAGTTTGATCACTTCGCGTTCGGTCATTCCAAATTCCATTCTCTCTTGCTCCTCTGGATTTCCAGAGCCGAAGCTCCGCTACCATGCAAAAGTCAACCAGTCAGTATTCAGTACCGATAAACCTACAGTACCAGTTGCAAAAAAAACAATCAACACTCCACGTGCAGTCAATGCTCAATCTCTTTCGGCAGCTCTGTGCATTCGTACTTTGGTCCAGGCTGTCAACATTATTCGCAGTTGACATGCTTAACATTGGGCTCAATCAAGGAGGTCTCATTCAACATGCAGACGGGGACAAAAAGAAAAGTATCAAAACACAAGGTGCCGAACAAAAATTGGCTCTCCGTTTCAGGCTTTGTAGGGGGAGCTGGGGGGGGGGTTGTGCAACTCAAGGTGCCTGTAAGGTTTAGGATTCTGCTCCTCGGGACAAGCATAACCATCCGAACATTGAAGACCGTTCGTTGAAGTTAACCCAAAAAAACCAGCCCAGCCCTCAAGGGGCGCAGCTACCAAGACTCCGAACCACAAGCCTGAAACACTGAAAACGAAGCCATCGGGCACATCTTTGTTAGGGTTACGGTGTCGGGCTTCAGTACTGTCAGTGATTCTCAAGCGTTGGAGGTCTGTGCCCCAGCCAAGCCCTAGCAATGTTGTTGTGCGTACGAATTTTGAAGAATCAGCGCCCCTCGCCTGTGGCGATCCGGCGGCAGGCCCCCGACGCTTCTTGCCTGAGCTGTTGGCTTCGAGAAGGCTCCTCGCACAGGCTCATCCCTCTCACCCTCGAAAAGGCTGGGAAGTTGTATCGTTTTTGTGCTCATGTATATCATTGTGTCGGAGCTTCGTCAACTGGCTGTGAAAGGGGTCCTCGTGTTTCTGCACAGTACATGAAAGCCCAACAAGACTTCAGAAGGGTGTAGGCACCTGTACGACCAGAAATAGCAATGCCGCAATGCCCTCCCGCTGACATACAATTCGAAACTTCGATCGAAAGACCTGGATCGAACCAGCAACGCTCAAAGAGCGCTTTTTTCGACCGCGCGTCTTGGATTCACCGTCTTTTTCGGATTCACCGACGCTTTACAGCAAACACAGCGCGGATTTGCTGCACTTCGGAGCGTGTCTCGCTTGCAGGGGTTCCCGTGAAGCCCTTTCAAAAGATTAGCTACTGAGCCCCTCTTCGTTGTACTCGTATCTTGACCCAGTTGCCACAAGCGGTCAATCGACAATCTTATGTGGCCCGGGGTTGCCACGCGCAGGACGCCGCAGGCAGTCCCCCTCGCAAGGAAAATGCCTGAACTTTAGAAACGGTCCAATCATGCCCAAAAACTTCAGCATAAACCCTGAAAGCGCAAAGCACCTCCTTCAACAAAACCACGCTAGGTGCTAGCAAGGTCCTCGCAAAGTGATAGAACATGTTGAACATGTTGAGGCTCTGCTACAACACAACATATCACTTCCTACCACGGCTGCCAGGGCTGCTACCTGCATGTTTCATTTTCTGACTTTATGCAGAAACACCTGCACTTCCAAGACAAGGGGTGCCTGCGGGCCTTTTGTCGGTTTGAAGCTTGTGATAGCTTGTGTACTTATTGTGCACGGGGTTCCCACACCCACCGCAGAGCTCCTCACAATGTGAGTTTCAAGACTCGATGCTGTTAAATTGCGATGCGAGTGGCCTTCGAATCCTTGACTTCTCTGTCATGGTGCTTTGGCCTGAGTAGGGAGTGCCTTGGTCTGGTTTCTCAAGGTCTTGAAGCAACACTTACGCGACGAGGCGACATATGAGTCTTCTGCAGATTTGTATGAATTTGTCTGTACATCAATTGCATTTCTGCAAATATCGTCACCGGTGCAGATTGCAAGAAAACTGCAAGAAGATTGCCAGAGATTCTTTGCTCTTTAAAAAACTCCGGCCCCGGAGCTGTCAGCTCTGAAGGGTTTGCGGGCATCAGAAAACTAGACATCGTCAGAGAGCGATGAGCGGGTCACACAGGAAGCTGTACCACGACCTGACTGCAGTTTCCGAAAGAGGTATCACTGCCCTGTGTCATTTCGCATGTCTACCGGGGCTGAACAGTAGTTTCAAAGAGACAATGTCCGTGGTATTTCGGCACTCAATCTCAGCATCCTCCATCATGTGAAAAACAATGCTGTAATGAACGACCCTTGTCGTCTGACCGCCTTAGCTTGTTGAGCTGCAACCCTTGATTTGAGCCGCCTGTTCCCAGCAAACAACCTGAAGAAACATAAGAACCTTACATTCATATACACAAACGTGCGGGACGCTTGCTAATGCATAGCCTTGTTGGCAACAGGTGCGCCAGGGTCCCTCAACCCTGCATTAAGTTTTCGGCTGGCTTTTCTGGGAATGGACCTCAGCAACCGCTTGCCCCGGCCTCCTGGGCCAAAGGAAAGATTCTAGACTACTTCATGGCCCTTCCTTCTTCTGAGGATCCTAGTGCTCTTTGTATGTTCTCCGCGAGTTGTTGAGGGGTGAAGGTGCCTGAAGCTATTCTGAGCCAGGACGCCCATGGTTCGACCGACCCGGGAAAAGGCACCTTGAGCAGGCTGGTTTGGGGAGCACTGCAGCCAAGCTTTCCTAAGAATCCCTGCAAGATGAATCGTGAATCCAGCTCTGGGGTGCTTGAACTGTCGATGCACTGTCGATGCATTGCCTCGACCCAGACTTGGTCGAAGGTCAGGCCTCCTCTGTGGGTGCGCGCGAAGTGTCTCAGGCGAATGTCACCTGGGCATTGCGAGGGTGCTCGTGCCTCAAACATAGTGGTCCAAACATGTCCAGAGAACCTCAATTCACCTTAGAGTCTAAGTCTAAGGTGTCAAGGGTTGCCAGGGAACAATCCCGAGATTGGGCTCGTGGCCGGGCCTGGGGACACAATTTCTGCTTTGAATTTGCTTGGGAACCTTCCTCGTCCATGCGCGGCTCCTCGAACTCTCGGACTTAAAGCCACTTGAAGGCTCCGCAGAGGCTCCCTGGGAGGTGCATGGAAAGCTTAGAAGCTGGCTTTTTAGAATGGAGATGGAGATGGGGCCAGCTGCACTCCAGCGAGAAAGCCTCGTTTCATGCCCTTGCTGTTCGGGGTGGCTGCGAAAGAGCCTCGAAGCCCCCCCAGCCACGAAAGAACCAGAGCAGAGAGGCCAGGAGAAGCATGTTGGAAGTGCATCAGGCTTCAAAACCATTCGGGGGTCTTTCTGCTTCCGAGTCTTACCGTCTTACCTTCATGCTGGCCCTGCTGTGCTTGATTCAGCAAGGTTTGTGCATCAATCCCACGACGCAACTACAAGACTCCCATAGCTGGTACACCCCAGTCTTCGCCAAGAAGCTGAGCGATAGCATCAGATGCGTCTTGAGGCCATCCTGTCACGCCGGAATACCAGGCTCCCAGCTCCAGTAGCTACAGGTCTCAATGCTCAGGGTTCTTTCCGTTAATCTTTGAGCTGAGAGCATCTGAGGATCTGAGGTGTCCACGCGCGTCACCAAGAAACAAACTCCCCAAATGCGAGCAGGCCCTGAATTATTCAGAATAGCGGGCGTAGCGGGCGCCTTGGAGCTCGTTCGTTTCAGCTCTGTTGACCTCCAGGGATCGTCTGCACGCTGGCCGATTCACAAATCTCGATGCCCAGGAGACTTTGTCAAGGACCCCCAATGCCAAACGTCTCAAAGATTCTCAAAGCTTTGTCATCGGGTCCAGAATCCTTTTCGGATTGTTTTTCCGGGGTGGGTGGGGAGGGGCCGGGGGGGGGAGTGTTTTTCTCGGGCCTTTGTATCGCCGCAACCCAATCCCATCGTTCCACGTGCTATTTGAGGCTCTCGACCCTGTGGTCTGAATCACGCTGTCCCGTTGGTTTTTAGGGTTTTGAACTGCAAAAAACGGGGGGTTTGCATCGATCCAAGTGCTATTCGTCGTCGAAATTCTGGCCCGAGTTGCGCGCATTCCGTGGAAGATCTGGCCCAGGCTCTTGTTAGGAAGAAGGGCGCTGATTTCTGTTCTTGAATTTGAGACTTTCCATTGCTCTAAAAGTTTTTCGACGAGGAGGCCTCTCTTCCTCTAGAAGTCAAAGTAAAACTTCAGGCCTTCGTATGTGTTGGTTGGAGATCTTTCGCTTCTTGGACTTTTTTGGTTCAGTGTCTCGGATGCTAACATACAATTGCAGCGAATACAGCTACCCTTGTGAAATACAGAGGTGCCGAGTTTTCATGTGCAAGAAGGAAACAGAGGATGAACCGCTGATGAGGCCAAGAAACCACGAATCAGGATGCTCTCCAGGCACAATTGGGATGGCCCAGCACTAGGCTGGACACGGAAAAGAATGCAGCAATCTTGGCTCACATGGCTTTCGTTCGGAAAGCCTGGCTCAGTGAGAGGTACAATGACGAAGACCCTGATTTGGGAGAGAGGGGGGGAGGGAACCCGTTGAGGTTCCGAGATGCTGCAGTGCCGAAAGTGTGCCTTCTTGGTGAACCACTACGGCACCGCAATTTCGTCGTCGGTTCGCATGGAATTGTGTTGATTTTGTTTGCTTTAAGTTGGGTTTTGGTTTTGTTGGGCGCATTCTATGGGTTAAGCTCTGGGGCTTAGGGTTTTGGCGGCTTGGGGCTTAGAGTCTCTAATTAGGGTTCAGGATGTTCAGGGTGTAGGGTTTAGGGCGAAGGCTTTATGAGTTGAGGGCGATTAGTTTTCAAGGTTTAACAAGGTATGTGACTTAGGGCTTTGAGGGCTAAGGGTTTAGGCTTTTGTCGCTTTTTTAGGTTTCCTGTTCAGGGCTTGGGGCTGGAGAGACCTCAGAATCGGAAGTATTATTCTCCCCAAGGAAACGTAAACGGTTATAAACTCCAAAACCTTAAACTTCTGGTGCTTAAACCTCTATATAAACCCTAAGCAGTTAACCCCTCAGCCTCCCAAGCCCTACAAACGCAGCCTGCTAAACTCTCATACTAGCCCTTGAACGATAAGACTCTGCAGCCCTCAACTCCTCAATTCAGCAATGCCAAACAATAATCAAAGAGCCTTACGCAACTTGCAAAGCAAACGGCAAAAAAAGGAAAGAATCAAAAGGCATGGAAGCAAAAACCGAAGACATGGCAAAGCCACACAAACAAGCAAATAATCAACCAACAGCTAGCGCACCTGAAGAACGCCGAAAGACCAAAAACAACAAACACTCCCAAACAACAACGAACAATGCTTAAACAAAAACGTGTGTGTGAACTGCCTTCCCCAAACCACATCCCAAATTTCAATTCTGAGAGAATCTGCGCCGGTTTATCTTGGAATGGGCAACAAAAATCGGGTCGCATTTCTTTTGCTTCCTTCTCTTTTGGGGGGAGGGGTGTGTGGGAACCGGGGGACCTCGTTGCCAACACAATGCTCGAAATGATGGGTTTGGAAAGGATTCACACGGGTCTTGCAGTAAAATCCATTATATTGATGATACGACATTCTTTGAAACAAGTTTCGCGCGCTCGCATGATCGGCTTGGAAAGGCTTCATATGGGTTTTGAAAGCATGTTCATTGATGGCACGACAGTCTTTGAAGCGAGGTTGCACGGCTTAAAAGCAGGGTTTGGGGGCCGCCCCTGGCCCGGAACCCATTTGCAGACATTCTCGGATGATGTTTCTTTCAATGGCTCACACTGCGTGAGTTTGAAGGAATGGCCATTGTTCAGCAAGGGTAGTCCGTCACGCACGGTAGATACGACTAACTCGACAGCACGAGCCCAACAGAGGCTGGATGCCCTTGCGCCAAGGTTGCAACACTGACGCTGGCACAACTGACGAAAGCACAACAGCCCCGTGGGCGCATTCGGGACCAGACCAACTAAGCGTTGCCGAGGGCCCGGACTTACGGACAGCAAGGACTCCCAGAAGGCATCATCCGGATTCGGAAGCGCGCCAAGGTCCACCAAATAAGGAAGTCGTCGAGTGTCCGACGCAGGCGGGGACCTTTCGCCCAAGTTCAGAGCAGCCGCGATCTTGCGACCAACACAGGCGAAGGGTCCTGAAAGTATCCGGAGTCTGCGGACGATGCCAGAAGGCTGCGCTACATGAACCAGCACCATTTTCCACGTGACGAGGCGGAGGAGTCCAACCGAGCGATGTGATTGTGGGCTGAGCCGGAAGGAGGCGGAGTAGGAGGCGAGGAAGCATGGTTGGCAACCCCACACCCAGGATGGGAACAAGTATGCCCTCCACACAAAACCTTTCCGAAAAACATCAGCCTGAAACTAAGCAGCACGAGCCACAAGGTTGTGCAAGGTTCCCTTTGCTCAGCCCAGCCAAAACCCATTTTGTCGTGGGCTATGAAATCGAAGCCCACGCAGCCGGATGCAGCCGGGAATGCAAGAGAGTGCTGTTCGACAAGAACTTTCTGGGCTTCGGGTCTTCAAGGTGCCTCAATTAGAAGAGCCAAGTGTTCCAAGCGTGCCCCCCAGCGACACCTGGCTGCAAGAACGGAGGAGACCAGCTTCGGGCACACAAACGGCGTGATCGCAGGAGCGGGCGCGCTTTTCCTTCAAGGTGGCTTTCAAGTTCCGTCATGCCGCAGGCTCATAGTTAGGCTCATAGTCTTAGCCTTTGTCTTTACAGCTTTTAGGAAAGTAGCTGTGTGTCTCTGCAGCTGAGACGCCCCGTCAGAACAGACTCCAGCCACCGGCCAAACTCGTCCCAAACACCTGGCATCTCAACGAGGTCGATTCATCCCGAACCCGGAGCCACCCAAAACCCCAACATCACATGACTAACGCCTTGTCGCTTGATTTACCCACTGAGGTATTGCCGCCTAAAGCCTTGACATGTCGCCTGTGAAGCCCTTAGATAGGGGCGCTCCCCAGATGAAAGTGGCCTGCTGGACACCTTTTCACCTGCAACATCCTGACACGTTGACCTTACAAGCATCCCGGCTTTCCCCGTCACTCGGAGGCCTGGAATGATGCAGTCCTTCAAAGACGTCTTCACACGTCGGCTCTGGCTGAACTGGAGGGTAATGGCTTTGAGGTCCTGAATACAGACTTTTCAGATGATTCAGATGTCTACATAGGGTTGGCATCCAAATGGGTCGTTGAAGAGGTAGCAATATGCAGCAAGTCCCTTTATGAGACTCTGCTGCGGAAGCCAAATGACTTTTTGTATTCACATGGTTTCACCGCTGCTCGCACAACTGGAGCTGTTTTGCATACCGGGATCAAAGATCATGGTAAGCTGCCCTTCCCTGCAGAAATCTTCGGAGTCTGGAAAGCTACTTCCTCTTCACAACCAAGGCACCGGACCGAGATGGATGCAGCCGTGCGGCTGCACCAACTAATGGTGACGTGCAAGCCGGGAACAAAATGCCCATCCACCACCCCGGTAGCTATGCCAAGAACACTGCGCACATCTCCGACAGCCCTTCCCACCGGCCATGGCCATTTGACGAAGCAATTCCGAGGCAAAAGCAATCCGCTACAAACGGGCGGCAGCCATCTGCCGTGACCCAAGGCATTCATCGCTCACAAACCCGGCAAAAAACCGATCCCAAGGCGAGTGGCCAGGGAGTCCGGTTCGAAGAACACCTCGACCGCCTTTAGGTTCCTCGGCACAGTCGGACGGTCGAATTTGGCTTGTACAGGGCGTTCGGCGTTTAGAGTGGTCCGGGAATGCTCTACTTTGGGTTGGTTGGAGAGCTTAGAGTCTTAGAGCAGGGCTCGGCTACTTTTAAGGCCAGTCGGCTAGATTCTCGCTGAAGCTGTATGGAACTCAGGGTTGCACATCCGCCAGTTCTCCCG